AAATAAGTAAATAAAATAATCTTTCTGTAGAGAGAGATACTGAAATATTTACAGATGATGCAACGACTGGGATATTTTATTTTCTTCAAAATAAGAAAAAGGGAAGTGGATGTTGGGTACAAACAAAACCAGATTGACCATAAATTGGTAATTATTGGAGCTGAGTGATGGTTACATGGGTATTTATTACACTATGCTCTTTACTTTTGTATATTTTTGAAATTTTCCATAATCAAAAGTTGAAAAAACAATAACAACAAAAAATTTTTTAGGAGTTGGAAAGGGATCCTAGTTCAACTTCCTGATTTTACTGATGGCAAACCCGGGTACGGAGATATTAAATGGCTTATTCAAAATGATGCTTACCCCTGCCACAGTTTTTACTCCAACAGAATCAACAAAATTCACTTGTGTGAAATCCAGAATGATGGTGTGGATATTATCTCCGGGGGGCATAAATCTTTGCAGTTCTTCAGGCAATGTGCTTTTGACGACTATGGGGGGATATTTTACTTCGCCATCCTCTTCTTCAGGCTTGGTACCATCTTCTCCATCTACTTCTGCATCCTATGTCAAAAATTAAGCCAAACCAGAACTCAGTGGACAACTAACAGTTTCTGGTTGTGAGGAAGATTTATAATGGAAAACCAACCCTGGTAGTCTCAAACTGATGACTATAAATATTTGTCATGCTCCAGCCTTGTATGTGTAATGTGACCAAAAAAGAAAATACACAACATTCAATTTTAGGTCAATTTCTTTTCTTCTCTTCCTCTCCTGCCCCTCCCCCCCTTTTTTTGCCCAATAAAATCCACTTTCCTGAGTCATCCTATCCATTTCTCCCTAACTTCTAAAGTAATTCCATTAACTTCGCATAACAGGTCACAAGTCACCATATGCCTGAACAGCAAAAACCAGCCTTTGGGCTTTCTTACTATCAGCTGAATAAATCTATGCCAAAACACTAATGGTAACATTTATTATGGTATTGTGTGATTTTTATTTATTTTTTATTTTATTAAATCATAGCTGTGTACATTAATGCAGTCATGGGGTACAATGTGCTGGTTTTATATACAATTTGAAATATTTTCATCAAAC